GCATTAATTCACTGTCAAGTGGCTCAAGGTTTAAAGCACGACGGTACCATCGACTAAATTAATGCAGAGTTGGATCAAAGTCAAGCTATATCTGAAAATTTTTATGTGGACAACTGACTTTATCAAAAAAAAAAAAAAAAAGAAGACCTATTCACGGGGGTTGATATTTAAAGTTTTTTATTATTTATTCAAAGAACACATATTTGGAATCACAAAAAAAACAGAGGAAAAAAAGATTCACCAAATATTGCAGAATACAAGGTGTACAGACACTTGAACTTGTGTCTATTTCTGGCACTCCATTTCTTTTCTGTATGTGGTACATAAAACTGAAATGTGCATATTGACTGTGGCATTCGTTGCATACAGATGACTTCCCCTCCGAGGAACATTTTGGATATAGTTACATTTGGCTCTCTGGGAGCACTTTTTGATATCTTCTTTCCCAAGCAGCTGTTCACATTGCTCCTTTAAGGCTCATTCCTGCCATCATTCAGAAACGCAGTGGAACTTCTCACCTGCAACAAGCCTTATCAGATATTTAAGTAAATAAAGCAGCAGAGGAGACAAGGCAGAAACCTCACAACAAGCTGTTGCATGAGAGCACAAGCCCTGCTGTGATGGGAGGACAGAAAGGTCACACACACAGCATCTCACATGCAGCAGATGCACAGTTATTACAAGACTTCTCTAGGTCTGTGGAAAACAGGACAAGAAGAACTTTTACCAAACAGCATGAAAAAAAGACAAGTTTTCTCTGAGACACTTAAAGGCTATGCTATATCTCCTATGCTCCAAAAACTATGCGCTTCTTTGACTGGAGCTGCTTTAGCCAGAAGTGTGGTAACGTATCTTAGCAACAGCAGCAAGGGGGAAGACTTACTGTACTGTAAAAGAATTAAAACAAAATGCATATAGCTGCTGACTGTTATAAATACATCCCTACCACTCTGAGGGGGTGTTCCATTATACTCCTGATTACTTTTCACATTCCCTTTTCCAAAGGGGCGGGGGCATTTCTCCGGTTTTCAGCTCACCCATGAAGAGCCCCGAGCATTTTAATTCCCCTTCAGCTACAGCTCCGACTAGACAGGCCCTACAGTGTAACCTGTCACCATCCCAGCTACATTAGGAAAAGCCATTACTGTAGCACCCCGGAGATAACCTCTTTGTGTGAGCTGTGCTGCCACTCCCTCAGGTGTTCAGCTGCCATCAGCCCGCAGCAGCTTTTCCCTGCTGTGTCGGGAGCAGGTGAGACCAGACATACCAGGACTGCAATATTTCACATTCCTACTTGTCAGGCAAACAGAAAGCTTTGTGCAGCAGGGGAACTTCGCACAATTTCACCTTTTACTAAGGTGTGTAGTTTCCCCACAAGTACAATAACCTCTTTGAGAGCAAGCTTCATCTATGCCCTCTCCTCCAGTCCCCAGCCAGGCCAAGGTCCTTGCAGGCTTCCCACCTCCCCTGCAGCACTTTCCTCCCTGTGGAGAGTTCCACCAAACAGGACAGGGGCCACATCCCACTCCTGCCCGGGGGGAAAGCATCCAACTGCACAAGAAGACAAGAAGCACTGATCTGATGTAAGGGAGAACCTACAAAGTGAGTGCAAGAGCTCCAGATTTTAAATGACAGAGCCAGAGCACTAAAAACATCAGTGAAAAAATGTGAAAACACCTTTTTTTTTTTTTCTTCTTTCTTCAGCAAGTGAAGGTGGGCTCCCATTTTCTTTTTAAGGATTATTCTCTGCAAGCAACTCTGACAATGGCTACGATTACAGCCTCACCTGAGTATCCTCCCAGCAAATAGTTTGCTCAGCCTTCCTGGGAATGAACACTACTGCTGTTTGCCTTCTAGTGAAACTTCATTTAATAGCCGTGAAACACCTGGAAATCTTGTGGATGATTACTCCAGCTCAAGGAAGGGAGGGAGCTCTTTCTGTTTACTATGGCAGGGGAGGGATCTTAGTCCACGCAGCTTAGCTCAGATTTAGACACGAGGAGTGACCAGGTGGTTGCCTAGGACAGCAAATTGATCAGCGGACAGCGAGAGCACACACGACTAAGGCTGAGTAATTTTCAACTTTAACTACTACACAGGATGGGGGGAAGGGTCAGAAACAGCCACAAAGTGGCTCTGCTGAGACTTGCCCGGTGTTATATTTCAAGGCTTTTGGACTATCTGCTCCATCCAGGCATCTATCTGGCGCTGTCATTACTCCAGAGATGTAGAGACTAATTTCATCCTAAGTGTTCCCATCCTTCAAAAGGCCGCACTTGACTGCCGTTATTAACTCCGTGCATGATGAAGACGTTCAAAAAGCCTCGCAGGCTTTCTCCCAAGCAGACGCCTTGCCCGCCTCGCTCCTGCCAGCGCAGCAGACGAATTTCCACACGCACATCCATCCACTCGCCCGCTCCTCGCACACGGACACCCGTGCGGGAGACACACCCGCATCCCCGGGTGACCCCGCATTCCCACCTCCGCCTCCTCCTGACCGAGCACAGCCTCTGCTCCCGCGGGGTGGCGAGGGGAGCCCTGGCAGGTTGCGGGCGGGGATCCCCGCTCCTTTAGGGCTTTCGGAAACTTTTCTCCCTTCCGTGCCGTCACGCTCCGATAGCGGGGCTGTGGGCTGGGCTGAGCTGGATTAGGCTGAGCCGAGCCCTGCCGGGAAGTTTCTCCCGAGGGCCCTGGGTCGGAGCAAGTTTCCCGCACGGTCCCCGGGCAGCCGGAGCGCTCGGAGCTTTGGGGACCGTGCGGGAGGAACGCGAGGTGGAGCTCGCTTCGGGGGAGGGGGAGATGGAGCCGGGGCGTGGGTAAGCCGCTCCCTTCTCCTTCCTCCTCCTCCTCCTCCTCCTCCTCCTTCCCCCTCGGCTGCTCCCGTCTGGCAGCCTGGCGGCCGCTGCCTCCGGCCGGAGCCGCCGCACTTGGGAAGCGGCCCCCGCGCTGCCGCCGGGATGGGGACGCCGCTGGCGGCTCCCGGATTCCTGCTCCTCCTGGCCGGCACCACGGGGCTCTGCCGGGCTCTCTTCTCGCTGCCGCTCCGCGTGTCCCGTCCCGCCGCCCCCGGCGGGTCCCCGCCCGCCCCGGTGGTGCTGCGGCCGGGGGGCAGCGCCCCGCAGCAGGACCCCGCCGGGGGCGCGGACGGCTTGGCCCTGGCCTCGGATCCCGGCGGCACCCTCAACTTTTTGGCCATGGTGGAGAACCTCCAGGGCGACTCCGGCCGCGGCTACTACCTGGAGATGCTGATCGGGACCCCGCCGCAGGCGGTAGGAGAGGGATGGGGGATGCGGGCTTGGGGGAAGAGTGGGAGGGGGGCAAACTTCTTCTGGGTGGGAACGAATCTGCGGGCCCTTCCCCCGCCCGGCCCAAACGCAACTTTCTCCCGGTGCTCAGTGCTGGCGCCTCCCTCCTTCTCCCTTTCCCTCCCCCCCTTCCCGAGAGATGGTGCCGGTGCTCGGCGCGGGGGAGCGGCGGCAGCAGACGGGAGTTTCCAGGGGCCGGGAAAGAGGGATGGAAGGAGAAAGGCGCATCCTCTGCGCTCTCCCGAGCCCCGGCTGCCCAGCCCCGGCTGTCCTGTCCTGCCCCGACCCGGTGACCGCTCGGGAAATCCCGGGGACCCGGTCCCCGGTTTTAGGCTGTGTCACGGCGTTTGAATCCGCAGCGAGTTGCTCTGTCGGTTCGAAATGACCGTGTTTTTGGAGACAGAGGGTGCTTTTTTTATTCATTGCTTTTTTTAAGCTGCTTTGCATCGTGATTGTGCGCTTTGGTGGATCTTCCCGGTGCTCCCGGGAGAATCGCTCGAAATCTTCCTGCTGAACTAAGTGATGGCTGGGGAAAACCAGCCCCTTCTGTCGAGAATCCATGTGTTACTCATTAACAGCGCAAAGAACGATTGTGTTCTGAATATTGTTTTCGAATAGACCGTGTTGCCCTGAATCTCCCCCTTGGGTTTTTTTTTTGTTTGTTTGTTTGGTTTTTTTGCCATGTAGTTGCTCTTTCATCTGTGTCATGAGATCCCAGGAGGAGCGGTGCTGGGCTGCTGGTGGGGATGACTAGTCAGCTGAGTGGGGATTAATTTCCTGAGAGTCCTCGGGGCTTTCCCTCAGAACTTCGTGTTTGCTTCAGGAGTTTAGGTCCTTCTGTTCCCAGTGTACACAAATAAAAAAAAAAAATTCCTTATTCTTCTACTTAACTCCTCTACGTGGTAAAAAGCCAATGAATGCCAAAATGCCCAGCCAACAGGAAGTGTTCAGCTGTCATTACATTTTTGGACATCTGTAAACTCTTTCTTCTTTACACTTCTAATGTGAGAGGACTGGCCACATCATCACTCTCATCGAAGTGTACCACACTGGGATCAATACATGTATTGAGAAAGGCTGGTGTGATCAATAAATGGAGTTTTAAAAAAAACCCAAAACCTAACTAGGTCTGGCGTATCAAGGTGTGGCCCCACAGCCACAGAGGCCACGAAATAATTTTTTCTCTCTGTCGAACGCTGCATATTTGACCGGTTCTGTTCCTGTGGCGTTGTGAGTGCTTCGTTACTCCAGGGAACATTCAAACATTCAATACTGGTTTCTGCCAGGATCAAGACACCAGAGTTGATCGGGCTAATAATCCAATTCAGTGTGTCTTAAATGAAAAAAAATAATTTCAGGTAGAAAAAGTGCCTATCAAGCGTATCATCTCCTTATGTGTCTTAGGGGGATTCTGCAATTGGAAGAAATGGAGAAGGAAAAATGTGACATGCTTTTAATAATATGACTGGAGGTCTAAGAGGGAGAAATGTGCTGCCCTCAGTACACCCAGAGGCTTCACTTACGCTTAACAACTCCTATTACTTGTATTACAGGTGATGTAAGGTTTCAGCTAAACTTGCCTCTGATTTCTTTTTCCACCTGGAAAAAAAAAAAAAAAGCTTTGAATGTGATTGCAAAGCTTTTACTGTTTTGAACTACTTCTGAGTTCTTGCAGAGTTAATTATTTAAAAGACTGCTACTGGTGTTTAGCACATGTGAGGTTTTCTTCGCAAGTAGGCCCACCGAGGTTGTAAGTAAGGTTATAAATGCGATTGTGCTTCCAAAATCAGATCTTGGTATGTAGTGACTCAGTAGAGTGCAGTTAAAATTTATTCTCTACTTTTGATGAGGCAGAATTTGTTATCTCGTTCCCCGCCTGAAACTGGAAGGCTTAAAGATCACAAATGTACTTGTTGTTTTTTCCGCTTTGCAATGAATAGTATAAAGCTACAAAGCTGCTACTGGTGCTACTTGAATCCTTCACATGCTGATGCTAAAAGCAAGTGTCTGGATACTGCCAAGCATTGGGATTGTGTTAAGCTCCTTGTGCAAGTAGTTTCCGGAGTTGGAGTGGGCTGTGCACGATCATGTAGAAAAGGAGAGGTGTCTCTTACTGATTTAAACGCTCCTCCCAACCTGACTTTGCTTCACGTCAGAAGCTGCAGCGTAAAGTGATGCTTGGACACTTTCCAGTGCCTGAAGGGAGCCTAAAAGAAGGATGGAGAGGGACTTTTTAACAAGACCATGGAGTGACAGGCTTCAAACTGAAAGAGAGTAGGTTTAGGTTAGATATTAGGAAGAAGTTCTGTGCTGTGAGGGTGGTGAGGCCCTGGCATAGGTTGCCCAGAGAAGCTATGGCTGCCCCATCCCTGGAAGTGTTCAAGGCCAGGTTGGACGGGGCTTGGAGCAACCTAGGCTAGTGGAAGGTGTCCCTGCCCATGGCAGAGGGTTGGAACCAGATGTTCTTTAAGATTCCTTCTGACCCAGGCCATTCTATGATTCCTTTATGCTTGCACCCCTCCAACATGTGGGGAATTCCCAGGCTAACTCCCTTCCTCACCCAGGCCTGCCTAGCACTGCCAAGCCCACGCAGCAGGTAATGCTCTCCTGACATTTTGCCAAGGAGGAAGAAGGATACTGGCAGAGGAGAGCAGCAGAGCAGCACAGCTCCGCTTCCGCGCTGTCGGAGCAGGAGGGTGGATGGCAGAGCTGCCCTGGATGGCCTTGAAGAGAGGGGATGAGTAAATGCACACAGGGCAGTAGTGGACCACGACCATCTAGCAGGCTGTGAGAAGAGGCACCAGACTTAAATGTCATGGTTACAACAGTGTTGGCACCTGGTAACTTTGCAAGTGTGTGCGTCAAGCGTCGGGAGCTGCTGTGCCAGGATGGGGAATGAACGTTTGTGAACGACTTCAGCACTACTGAGCTTGCTTCGCCGCTCAGCTGCATTTTTAGAAATTTTCCTTTTTTTTTTTAATTTCTGTTCTTGGAAGGAAGCTACTATGACAGAATTTCGTTTTTCGGGTCGTTTAAGGCACGCTTTTTTGGCTTTGGTTCCAATTCTGATTTGTCATATAGCAGATAAACACAGCCCAGAACTGCGATTCACAATGGCAGTTCTGAAACACTTGTTCTGACGGTACAAAAATAGAGCAGCTGTGTGAAGTCAAATTTATTTTATTTCCAAGACAGGAAACTTCAGTGCAGCCAATCCAGTTTTGCAAAGTGTTTGCAGCCAAAGTGTTTCTGATCATTTACAGTTTTACAATACAGTATCCTTCCTAATCCTATCAGATCTCCAGACTAGCTACCAGGTGGTGTCAAATGTCATTACTCCCACTAATTCCTATTCATTCACATGTAGACCTATTTAAGAATTATGTGAAAGGTGGAAAAGGTGTATTGTATTGAAGAATATGATGTATTTGTCCCTTATTTCATGGATGTATTACTATATGTCCTACTTCTGACAGATTATGTGCTTTATACCTGTCTGTATAGGTGCACTTCTTCCAATTCCAGATTTAAATAAGAGGTGCCAAGAGCCCAGTATGAATTGTGTGCACTGTTCTTAGTTATTTCTTTAAATAATCTGATGGAATTCCTTTGCTCTATCTTTTATTATTTTGCCTCCCCTGAGATTATAAGCACTGTGAAAAACTGAATCAAAGATCATTTAGGGTTTTTTGCTATCTTCACTGCAGTTCTCTTCATATTCATTTTGTTTCTCCTACGAGCCTTTGACCAAAAGAATAGTCAAACCCTTAAAAAACCCCCATGTTCTTCACAGCTTTCTTGAAGTCCATCTGGACTGCATTAAATGCTTGCAAGGAAAGTACCATTGCCTCATCTTGCCTCTTGTGCTAGTCCTCGTGGTGTGAGCTGGTAGTCCTGCTGATCCCACTGCATTTCCAAACTGTGTTTTTATTGAGACCAGGTAAATGTTATTCCTGCAGCTTCACTGTGAAGAGAGGCCGGGCTTGTGCCTCCTGAGAGCTGAGATCACATAGCTCTGGTCTGATGAGCGGGTGTTGAAACCACAGCAGGATCCCAGTTGTGCTCTGAATGCCACAGCTCCCTTTTTTCAGTGTCAGTTTTTTTCATTCTGTGCGTGAAGAGGGTTTATCTGCTGGTCTTCCTAATGGCAGTTTGTTCTGTGCAGGGGGTGAGCAAAAACCTGTTCTGTAAACTTGCTCTGAAGTTTTAAGGTCAGAGTGGGTGCTGGGTCTAACAGCCTTCACTGTGAAACACAAACTCCACTTCCCATATAATTGGTGGGAGGTTATCTTTGCTTCAGATTCTTCCAGCTATTAAAAAAAAGAAGGGTAAGGAAGGATATGTATTAAGTACCTCAAGTGTGTCATGGACTCTTAGAATTTATGGCTTCGTGTTTTGAAGGTGATGAACACATGCATCAGCAAGTTCTCAACTGGCAGCCATTCCTCCTTAATTGCTGATGGCCTTTATTCCCTGAGTGTTGGAAGGAATGAAGATTGTGAGGGAAGATTCAACTGCTCTTGTAATTTCCCTGCTTCACTAGTCACGCTGTAGTAGGTGATAAGAGCCTGATTTCTGGAGCTGGGCTATTCCCCAAGAAGCTAAGCTCTGCTTTCTTAATTTTGCTGGAAAGGGGTTACTGTCTTTCTAGATACAAGAAGTTTGAAAAATGTGATCTCTCTCCGTTCAAATATCAGAAGGCAAGTTCCATCTCAAGCCTCTTTTTCTGTCTTTTTGTTTTGCTTTAGTTTTTTTTAATAATTACTTGAGTCTTTTGTGTTTATTTTTTAATTCTTTATGAAAGCTGAAGAAAGGAGGGGTTGAGAAGCAAAGATGAGTGCTGTGGTGCATTGGAGTATTTTGAGGTGGCAGGGTCAAAATCCCTCCATGTCCACCTAATGGAAGTACTATTGAAGTGCAAAATATTCCTGTTGTTAAACAGTGAGTAAATTTTGGTCGTTGTT